ATTTTTGATATGTTGATAGAGGTTTGGCAAAAAATTAAAGGTAACAAAAGATTAGTTCAATATTCAAATGGATGAGGAGGTAGTACAGGATCTAAAACAAAATCATTTCTTCAATTAATTTATAGGAAAATGGATTGCTTTTCCCCCCCAAATTGTTTGTTTATATGTAATTTTTCTCCATCTCTGATAGAGATATGTATGCACATTATCGCTGCCGTCGAATTGTCTACGGCATGCTTTCAAACTCGCATGTAACTAGTAAAGCATGTGTTCCAACCTCCAATCATTTGCATTTGAAGATTGATTATTCAGGTTCCCAAGATAACTTGCCATGCTAGTTCAGTCAGCCTGCGAATCCACGATGCTCAACATAAACAAGCTGCGAGCTTTACAGACCAAAAGCTCCAGATCAACGTTTAGCGAAGCAAGGGAAGACATCAGGAAGAAAATGCGTGATGCTTTCCATGAAGGACCAAAGAAGCACATGACCATGAAAACGAAGAAGCACATGACAATGAAAACAATCTCATTCTTTTGTTTAACTGACATTGGCGAGTACACTGCACAGTGGAGAGAAAGTGGGGGAGGTAATGGCACATTGAGAAACTTTCTGCAGTATGATCAAGACCAATCAAAGCTGCTATTCAACAGAAAGTTTATGAAAGAAGCTGAGAATTTCATCGCAAACTTGTTGCGCTCTCTCCTCGTGGATGAAACGGTGCCCATCTAGAATGACGACTTCAAGATTGGGAACGAGGTCTTTGAATATCTTTCCTTTAATGTACTCATTGGCACCAGCCGACTCGAAACCATGCTCCTTGTTGCCGACTATGAACTTGGTAGGCACTGTGATTTTTGCCCCATCCCACGGCCCAAGAAGCTCCCAATTCCTGCTTCCATTAAACACACAGTTGAACTCATCTCCCATGTCGATGAAATTTTACTGAATGGGGTCAATTTTGTTACATATGCAGTTGACCAAAACGATAGCGGTTGGGTCTCTTAACAAAGCCAGCTGATGCATGGTCGAGTCGCGGTTCTTTCTGTGAAAAAGTACTTGTGGAGAGAGAGAGAGAGAGATTTTAGACACTCACAAGTCCATAGCTCGGTAGTAGTTGAGAGGGCCAGTGAAACCCGACTCCTGAAACTTGTCAGCGTAGACCTGCAAATCTTCTTCGGTAATCCAGGAGGGCAATGTGGCCGGAGTTTCCACGAAGTCAATGATCTCCATTCCAGGAGGAGCAATTAGTATCTCCTTTTTGTTGTGCAAGAGCAGCTTCTTCATCACCGTCAAATAGTCATATCTCGCAAACGCCCGCTCCGCTCTTCCCGGCTTCTGTTGTATCCAACAGCATGTGGCAGAGCAACATCAATGAACTTGAAGAGTGACTGAGGATAATGATACTCAGTTACTCACAAAGTAGTTGCGTTGCCAATCAAAAATTTGTGCCATGCTCACATTTAAGGCAATTCTAAGCGATTTATACGCTGAAACTGACTTTGTTCACGACTCCATCTAATGATTACTGGAAAACGCGGACAAAGTGTCCACGAATTACATTGGTCTGACCTATAAACCAGTGTAATGAACTATTAGGATCTACACTGACTTAGAAAGCCAATATTTTCTAAATCATCATATGAACTCAATTAAATTTCATTTGAAAGCTCGGTGGAGTGAAGTACTTGACATGCTTGACTTTGAGGCAGTTCTGTAATTTGTTCGCTTTATCGTCTGAGCTAAAGCCTTAACCAGAACCACAACATTCAGAACACTTCTATACGTTGATATACTCATCCTAACATGATTCAGTGACTGGCTACATCGAAATATAGTGCATGACTCAGAATCAAGCTTCGGACTCAGCCATGCCAAACACAAGTGAAACTGAATGAACATCAATCAACAACAACTGAGCTAATAGCTCATCGCTCAAGATTGATGCGAAGTCGCCGCGAGCAGAGTTGAACAGAACCCGAGTTGGGTGTGAGCAACTCAGACTCCGTTTTTGCGGCAAAAAGCGAAAAAAGTACCTGAAATTGAGTGATGAAGAAACCATCTCCGAGCGGCTTGTACGAATCAAGAATTCTGATTCCTGGAGATCTGGGGGAATACGGAGAAGAGAGAGCAACCAGGCCCTTCACCAAATCAGGCCTGAACAAGCTCAGGAACCATCCTGCAACTGCTCCCCAGTCATGTCCCACCACAAATGCCTGACCAAACCACATAATTACGTCCCTAAATTTAGAGCACGACTTACAACACACCAACCAAGAACACCGAAGCTGTGTGTCTTGATATGCCATGTCATTTATAGATTGCATCTCAGCGGGGAGCATTGGTTCTTTTCGTATAACAGTAATTGCTCATCGTAACCATCAAAGTTTTCTACATAGGACAGCAGCAAGATTGCCCTTAAAGCACTTGATAATTCAAATCTGCCCAGAAAAATACAAAATTTTGCTATTTGCTAATTGATATGGTTGTTTTCTTGCGATACCCACAGTTTCAAATTTTCAAATTCACCTACCAATTTTAGTTTTTTCATGAGATGCTTCCTGAAGCTCTATGTGAAAAGTTCTGTTCATGAGTATATTCGGAGCATCGGGTCAACAGATCAACTGACAAAATTTTGCGACTTTTTGCAAGGCCGCGGCGAGAATTCGGTTAAGCAGTCACCAGGAGGAGGACGGGGAGGCGGGGAAATGGAACGTGGCGAACCTGGCGATGACCGAGGTGGTCGAGGAGGCCGACGAGGTCGCCGACGAGGTGGGGGATGGTGTAGGCGGCGGGGCTGAGAGGGGAGTCGGAGTCGCCGTAGCCACGGAGGTCGGGGGCGACGGCGCGGAAGCCGGCGGCGGCGAGGGAGGCCATCTGGTGGCGCCAGGCGTACCACGTCTCCGGGAAGCCGTGGAGGAGGAGCACCAGGTGGGGGCCCTCCCCCTTCTCCGCCACGTGCATCCATATCCCGTTCGTCCTCACCCTGCTGTGGCTCACCTCGTACTCGAACGGCACCGACGACATCCTCGTGCGACGACCAGGCGATGTCCTCGATGCTGCAAGAGAGAGAGAGACGCCAAATGAAACTGTACTTTGTCGGGGACAGAGGAAGACGATGATGATGATGCGGTGGCGGCGTGGAAAGTCAAAGACGACGACGATTTTGTCTTTTCTTCCCCAACCGTCCGACGTGTCGGATGGGCGAAAGCGTTTGGAGCGCCGCCCAATCGAGGAAGAGACGTAGGGAAGCGGCTCGCGGGATTGGCCGACGCAAAAGCCACCAAAAATTTTAAACTATACGATTGTGATTAGCGATAAGCGATTCCAGATTTCTTACAAGTTTCATTTAGAACCTGAAACCTATTCTCAGATATAGATTCCTTGTTATTTGGAATCTAAAATCCACCCGTCAGAACTTGAAATCTGAAATTTACCCTGTCACGGGTTCAAGAGTAGGTTCCAGGGTCTAACAAGTTCTTCTGTTTTTTTTTTAGTTAAACAAAACAAAAATGAAGCCAACAATACCGAACAAGCTTGTCATTCGCCAAAAAGAATACAAACGACTAGTTTTCGTAGCATTACGGTTCAAATAAATGCAATTAAAATGAAAAGTCATTGTGTGAATCGATACTAGAGATGAGTGATTTCATGTTCCGTACAGGTTCCATTTGGAACCTGCCCATGAGAATAGGTTTCTCGATTTTTGGAATTTGAAATCTATCCTATCGCAAGTTTCAGGTTGGTTCCAGGGTCTACCCAGGTTCCACCTCTATTATTAATTAAATAATTGCAATGAATCATCACCTTTAATGACTACCACTTGCTGCTATTATCCACTAATCACAACTTATATTTAGACACACGAAAAATATAAAGCATTAACAAATCATATAATGAAAGTTCAGACTAGTGGTTCCAGATTATAAACTCATCATCTAACGCCATAAAACACCACAGGATCACGTGAAGACATAAACCAAGAAAAAATAAAAATAAAAAACTTGTTTAGATTCCAAGTTCTATGTTCCACATACCTAGAAACTGCAACCTACCCGTCGAAACAGATTTCTCAATTTTTGGAACCTGAAACTTACCCATGCACCTTGGAACCTGAAACCTACAAGTTCTCACTAATCAGGTTCTTAGGTTCCAGGGTAGAACCTGGAACCATGCTCACCCCTAATTGTGACACATTTATCCTAAACGTTTTCACGTGATATCAAAAATTCCAAACTTTTATGCTTGTCTGTCAAAGTTCTGTCAATGGGCACCTTGAAAGCAAGCAATTGAAAAATCATCAGACGAAACTTTTATGAAGGATAAATGTGTTACATAAGTACAATTTTGAGGTTTTTAATGTCACAAAATAAGTTTAAATGTGTCGGAGTGGCTATAGTTTGGGATTTCCATCTTGCAAAAAAAAGTTTAAGATAAATGTGTCATGATAGATATAATTTAGGGTTCTCGATGGCTTTTTTCCCCTAAATATAAATAAAGAAAAGGATTTTGCAATGTCTTTAATTTGGTCGTTCAATGTCATCCTAAACCTATCCATCATTGCATGGGTCCAATTTGAAGTCATGCGTACTTAAACGGGTTGGATCTTGCCCTCCAGTGACTCGAGTTGGGGCTTGAGCTCGAATGCGAAATCTCGAGAAGTCTTATACTGAGATAAATTAAGGACAAGGACGACCTGATCCAAGAACTTAAAGGAGAAAATCGCACACACGAGCTCCGGCTCGGGGTCGGTCGATGAAGTACGCGCGATTTCGGTGCTCGGATTCAATTTGACATTCGATCTTTTTCCATTTCTCCAAATATATATATGTGGTTAATTCAAGCGAACGGTTTTCCATCAAATTCACATGATTTGATCATCATCATTTATCAAATAATTTCCAATTTTCAACTCATTTTTCCAAGGCGGCATCGAACGGCCAGGATCATTCGAGCTTGGGGTCAAGACCCAAATGATTGTTTTATCTTCTTGTGCTGTCTTTCTAGAAACACGTCCAAATCCCCAGCGTAGGCCCAGCCCTTACAGGCCGGCCCACCTCTAAAACCCCCCAACGATTAATCCCGCCCTTATCATCTAAATAATCAATTAAAAAATTCAAAAAAATATGGCGATCATAGTTTTTTAATACAATTCTTTTGAAATTTTGATATTAATAAATCATTGTTACATGGTAGACCGCCTTCTAATCATAAAAGAAAATTAGATCCATATAAAGCCGTTTTAAAAGGCTCGTATCTACGTCGCGGAACAATGGGCGGGGCCTTTTTCCACGCCCTTTTTTTTGGCTCGCACAGTTTCGGAATCGATCGATCGAGCTACCCTCTAAGTAGAACTCATACACATCATCCTATCGCATGCATGCCACGTGACCCATACCAAATAATTGTTTTCGCATCACCGACGCTCTCTTGGAGAATGGGGTCGCCATCTCTCTCTATATTCGGATTCCGGCTGTCATAGATCTCTATCGTGCTGATCTATTCATCTTCAATTCGAAGCATCTCTCTCTCACTAAATTTCACGTATTTTTTTGTTATAAGAATTAAATATTAAATCATATCTTCATCTAATATCGAAAGCTAAAAATATTCTGCCTTTTCCCCATTTCGACGTAATAAATAATTTTTTTTCCCTTTCTCTTCCCATGTTGTAAGAGTGCAAAAAAAAAAAATCACTAGGTTTGCTTCGGTGGCCATCCTCTTATTTGAGAAGGGGGAGGGATAGTTTTAAATATAGGTTTCAACTTCCGCGCTCTAAAAAAAAAATGATAAAAATTCGAGAGTAAGTTGAGAGTTAAAGTAGATCGGATAAAAAAAAATTTAAAAAAAAAGGAAAAATATTCAAAGCAATCTAAAATAGGGAGGAAAAAAAAAAAGGAGAGGAGAATGTGACTACGATGGCAAGGAAATAAAAGAGAAAAGACAAAAGAAAGACGAGATAAAAATAAATTAAGGGCGGGGAAAATCCACGTGCTCTGCAATAATGGAGGCGATGCTAGCAGCCTAACCCCGTATAAGGAGAAGGAAGGCAAGCGCACGTACCGCTGGTTCACACGCAGCCCGACCGAAGCTCCCCTCGCTTACCTTCCCTCCCTCACCACACCAGACCACACCGCCCATGGCCATCACTACTGCCGCTGCCAGCTTTCCTTAACACCCCCTCCAGAATCCCCCCTCCTCCTTCCCGACACCTCCTTCGCTCGGTCCCGTGACGGAGAGGGAGAGGGAGAGGGAGAGGGAGAGGGAGAGGGAGGGAGCATCGCCGGCGTGGGCTGGTTTCGGGCTCTCGCGGGAGCGGCAGGTACGTACGTTCCCGCTCGTTTCTTTGCGGTTCTTTTGATTTCGGGCGTAAGGATTGGATTTAGCAGCCCGCGTCCCAGTCGGTGGCTGAGAGACATGGTTTAGGAGGAGCGGGGGCTGAGGAGAGCCGGGCTCGAAGCCTCGCCGTCGCCGTCGCCGTCGCCGTCGGAGGGTCCGCCGGGAAGGGAAAAGGAGGGAGAAAATGCGGGAAAGTTTTGCGGGGAGGGAGAGGAGAAAAGAAAGGGGGAAGGAAAAAGAGGTAGGACAATGTGGGCGGCTAGCGGCAGCGGCAGCGCGGCCCGCACGTGCGCACGTGGCCCCTCGCCGCCCTCGCCGCTTTCCGAGCACGGGCGTCGGGGGGCGTGCTCGTCTGCGGGAGCCCGCATGGGTCCTAGCCGTGCACCCTACCGAAGAGATGGATGATCTTGAATCCTTGATCTTTGCAAAATCTTAAGTTTCAGTCTTTTTGGAAGTGTAAAAAGTAGTGAAATAAACCCGTTTCATTTGCAATTAGTTTGATGATATTCGTGAGATGTGAGATGTCAGGCGCTTATTACAAATAATTAGGATAATTCTCTAGAATATCGTCTTATATTAAAGATAATTAGAATAATTCTGTTGGTTTTATCTCTCAAGATTATGCAAAATCTCCATGATATATCGAAATATATAGGAAATTTTCACACATTCTATTAAAGTTTCCATCTTACTGCATTGATATCGTGTTTACAGGGTACAGTCAAGTATCGAGAGAACGTGAAAGGCCAAGCAGAATGAGGGTGTTTCTGCCCAGTCAAAATTGAAGCGGCCTGTTTTGCCATTCCCTGATTGTTGGGTTGGGGACGAGATGGAGTGGATTTGGGGAACTTGGTTTCTGGTGGCTGTTCTTACGGTGTGTTGGTATCGACATAAATCGGCGAAGAACAAGATATATGAGAGGCGCGGGATTCCGAAAGGCAGCTCGGGTTGGCCTCTTATCGGAGAAACGCTCGACTTCATTGCCTGTGGATACACTTCCAGACCTGTCAGCTTCATGGACAAGCGCAAACATCTGTAAGTTCACTTATCGTCTCTAGCTGCATAAATTTTTTGTTAATAGCACAGGGGTTCCCACATCTTTCAGTTTGACTAACATAAGTGCATTTATCTACATAAATTTGTTTTCGCGTTCCATATTTTCTCAACCCAGCTAGTTACAACGAAGAAGATCTGTAGTTTCCTGGCTTATGTAGGCCAATGTGAGCAGTTACATTCCTTCGAGTTATGGTGGTTCTTAGACCCTCGTTGTATCGAATCTTGTCACTTCAATGAGTGTGATTGTTTATTCCGTGTATTATTGGATCTCGTCTGAGTTGGCGAACGGGACATATATAAAGCCTTTGTGGGTGTGATGTAGCGTCAAAAATTAGACAATTACCTTGACAAATATCCTGAGAGAGAATGCATGGACAAATGTTATATCCACTCAATTGATCAGCATCATGATAGTGCTCCATTTTTATCCTTGTTTTAAATAACTGTGAGTTCATATTACTAGGAAAACTTCATAGGAATTGCAATAAATATTTGATAGAGAAGGAAGAGCTATAAATAATACCAAAATGAAACAAATGCTTATGTGTTTAAGGATGATGGAAATTGTCGAACAATCATAAGTCTTCAAAGTCATTTCTTCATATAAGCTGTGTAGGAAGAGAGAATGATTTAAGGGGGACCAAAATTGTCAAGCAATCATAAATCGAATGATCATGTTTTTGAAAGGACAATATGTTGATGCATGCCTGCTTTCAAAGTTTTTT